GGAGGGCGGCTGCTGTGGCAATAGCCGGCGGTGGCCACGCTCGCCTCCCCGGGGCGGGAGGGAGGTGAAAATGGGAAGCGGGGGACGGAGGAGCGCGGCCGGCGTGGGGTACGGGCGGGCTCCCCGCAGCGGCCAGGGAGGGGTGGCGTCCCCCGGGCAGGGGGCCGGGGGAGCGGGAGGGCAGCGGCGGCACCCCAGAGGCACGCTTGCCCCCACCTTCCCCTCAAGCACCCCCAAACCCTTCCCCAGCGCAGGCACTGCGGTCCTGATGGAAATGCTGCTTGCGAATGTAATCACGTATTTCATTCTTTTTGCTTACTTGCTCTCAGTACCGATGTAAATCCTCTATGGGCCTTCCTCTGCCAAAAGTTAGATGCAATTTGATGCCCACCCCTGAGGATCTGACTGCTTGGGGGAAAAAAAAAAATTGGAAAAAAACCCCAGTGCTGTGCAGTATGCAAGGTGTGCAAGTAAATGCCATCATCAGATGGAGAGTTTGTACCACAGAAGAGCAGAAAGGGTCCTGTCAAACACTACCTGAGGCAGTGCCACCTCAGTTTTCCCCCATACTCTGACAGCAGCTGATTCTTTGCCCACTTAACTGTCCCACCGACAATGTCAAATTTGACCAATTTATTTCATCGCTTGCTGACATGCCAGCTCATCTCTGCTTGAAACCCTGGTCATCCCTCCTCCCTCCCTCCCTCCCTCAGCTTTGTCTTATTGACAAGACCAAAATGCCTTTCATCAGCCCAAGCAGGGCAGTAACAAATACAATAAAAGTGGCAGAACAAAAGAAAGCTTTGCTAAAAAAAGGGGTTGGAAGTAGGAATCAATAGAAAGTCAGGGATTAGAGAAACAGGTGAAAGTATTTTTGGGAACAAAGGGATGCTACATTTTTTGGCTGAGCTACATCCTCCTCCTTGGATTCATGGCAAAGAAAGGAAATTTTGCCTTCCCTCTCACCCTTTTACTACAATGTGTAAATATGACCTGCTCTTATTTTGCTCTGAAAAAATTATGACATTTTGGAGCACCTGACAGTCCTGAGACCTCACCAAATCTCTACTCTAATAATATATGCAAGCATAATTCTTTGGTGTAGGTTGAACGAAAAAGCTCAGCAGAGTTCTGAACTTCTGCGTAGCCTTGGCTGTGCCAGTTGTGGTGGATATCTTACATTTTTAACCTGGTGGACTGAAGGTGTATTGATGAAGAATCCCTTCCTGCCACCCATGCTTAGGCTAGTAGTTGATAACTGATTATACTACTAAAAACTGCAGGGTAAGCTTGTACGAACAGCTGGCACATCTCAGCTACCTATCTCACAGTGTTTCACGTTTCAGGCTTACACTATTAATTGTACAGTAAATGTAGACTAAATAGTATAGCATAATTCTGACCCATTTAGTTGGGGAAAAAATGCCTTTCAGTTCATGCAGTCGATCTGTTGCTTTCGCAAAAGGGACTTGCACTGAGAAATTCTTTGGGATATTGTGGGATGCAAGCAAACACAAAGGACTCGGTCACCTGCTAGCAGACAACTCTTGTTTCTCATTTAGGAAATCACACCTAAGGATATCACTGGTAGGTGTTAATGGTGACGGAGGTAGGGATGAAAACCTACAATGAAGTGGGTCTGATTTAAAAAAAAAATAAAGATAATTTTAAAAAGCACCATTGAAACCAAAGGCATGAATAGCTAGACTGTCTTTAGGCAGACCTGAATTTGAGATGGATTAAGCTATGTAGCACCTGATGGCAAGAAAGTGACATTTCTTCTCTACTTTTGCTTTCCTTAGGGAATGTATGAATGGGAAAGTAGAGTTAGTAACTCAGGTTTGGCTTTCCCCTCAGTGGCAAACAGTGGTGTTTTCTCGGTGAGCCCACTGGGCACTGGGAATTTCTTAGTTAGTATTTTCCCAGGTCAAGCCGAGGAGTCCCCAGGTGCACAGCGCTCGCTCAGCATGCCACCCATCGTCTGGGCAGTCTGCATGGGGACATGCACGTTTTACATAGGACTGAAGTCCAAGCCAGCAATTAACTGCAAAACATCCATATATCCATACGTGCCTACTGAAGTCTTAGGGCAGCATAGAATTTGACTCAGCCTATGTAGGGAAGGCAACAAAATGTGATCTTGATGCCAATGGTGAAATTCTTTCTGACGTCAGCAGGGGAATGGTGTGCTCTTCTCTATGACTGCAGTCAGAAATGAATCCCTGATTGGCAGCCTCCAAGGAGCTGTGTTTTCTTAAACATTACACAGAAAAGAAATATTATGTATAACGGAGTTTTACTTGCTTCTTAATTTCAGCATGAATAGGTTACACAGTCATTTCAGAGAAATGCTATTATTTCAGTTCTGTTAGAGTGGTATTTTTGCTTGCCTTGTGGCACAAACATTCCTAAAAGAAAGTTTCTTAAAGAAAGACCTCAGTAATTAGTTCTCTGGTATTAAGGAGGGACATAAACCTATAAGAATTTAGTAACTATTTAAAGGAAACACCTTCCATTAAGGAAAAGCTGGAAGATAGTTATGCTAATAACAGTCTGGATGGTGCCGTTCCATGTAGAATTCCCATAGGTATTAATGGAAGTTTTGTGCTAAATCAGCAGTAGTTTTAGGTAGTGGATTGTAAAAAAGGATATGCTACCCAGCAGGATCTTAATCCCTCTGCATTTACTTAGGCAAACTTTGTCTTTGAAATGCTTTTGAAATCTGTCCCAATTTT